GGTTTCTGTCACTTGGAACCTAAAATTACCAGAAACAAGAATCAAAGTTATTATAACAAAAATAGCAATGAAGCTAATTGCTCAGTGGGATCTACTCTTCATAAATAAAACACTAATATTTCTATACCGGCAATTCAGTCAAAAAAATAACCACATAAAAAATCAAACTCCCTATAATTTACTTTGGTACCTAAATTGGCCACATCTCTTAATGACCTTTATTTCATTAAATAGACAAATTTTATGTTTTCCTTGCATTGGTCCCCTGGGGCAGAGGTCTTCGGGTAGCTTCAGAGTCACAGATTAGGACTAGGAGGTGATACTGGATCTAGCAGATCATGTAAGAGTCATAAAATTCATAGGGCCAAGACCCAATAAGTTAGCAATCTGAAATCAGAGATCCATGTTAGCCGCAAGAGTCCTATGGCCCAATGCCCTGTGAGCCCCTGTGTGTATCTGGTCCCTAAGATGTTACTCACAGGTCACAAAGGGTTGTCTTGGGGGAGACGTGGTTTCCCCAGCGAAAAATGCAAAGTTCTCTTAGGACCCTGTGCTGCTCCTTCAGTCATTAAATGGTTCAGATCCTTGGCTGCATATTTACTTCCGGATCAGACAATGTGCCCATAAAATGTAAGGTAACCACAACTGTTGTGAAGGTAAGGACATAGTTCTCTGGCACCCGACGGATGCGAGATTGATTACGCTACATGCAGGAACTTCCCCAAGTTGCTTACCTACCCTGAGCATCAGGCTCATGGCGGGTAAATAAACAGAACAATTCCCCTTTCATAAGGTTGTTGTAAAGAGTTAATATGAGGATGTTTTGGAAGTTCCTGGAGAAGCCCCCCAGCAGAGAGTAAGTGCTCATAAATGTGAGTCATCATCACCATCCGCCCTGTTAGGAAGCCCCCCAGGACACACAACTCTTGATTGTGGCTGTTAGATTCAGGTAGTAAAGAGTATCCCCCTCCTGCTGTTAATCCACTTGTATCCACTTACCTATATTGCTGACTAATTTAACAGTCATAATCATGCTTTTTTGTGATCTAAACATTTAAGACCAAAGGCTCTCCTTTTTGAACTCCCTTTTCATACACATCCTATTTCTTACCCCCTCAAATCCTATATTCCTAGCCATGTGAGTCTCCTAAGACCAAGAAATTCTGATGTGGAACTAAATGGGCTTTCTCGTAGTCTCCTTTGGAGAATGCCACTTGCTGTTAAAGTTACTGATGGACCATTGTTTATTTCTTTAATAGTGTTGTCTGATTAGGAAAACATGCTGATTTTATGGGGTGTAATGTTTGAGACCTGAAAGCAGGAAGCCTAACACCACTTAGCTTGTCTAAAAGACAATATTGACACGTGGCTCAGGTTGCCCTTAGGACCTACAAAACTGACCTCAGGGCAAGAACTCCCAGAGCAGAGAAAACACATAATTTTAGAGACAGTATCCTCCAAATGCTGTTGACCATGTTCAAACTTCACATTACAAAACAGCTTTCCTGCATTTCCCTGTGTCATTCATTCATGTCTTGTGGTTAATATTTGTATAGTTTCCACTGTTATTCTGAAAACCAGGTGTGAGGTCATGTGGCAGGTACACAATGACATTTTGCTGCTTTAATCTCCAGCACATTCCCTAATTAATGTGAAATGTTTGGTCTGGGAGAGGACATTTTCTAAACGAAACCAGCGATAATCATTTCAGAGATCTGTTCTGAAGCTCATTTGCTTTATCTCTTTTGAATTAACTATTTGCTTTCTCTTCCCATACTGTTTCAAAACACAATTAATTCCTTTCTTGGGTTTGGCACAGTGGAATATGCATTCTCAATGTGAAAACTCCACTGTTGAGAAGCTACATAAATACGAATACCATCTCCATTCCTACCATTCAGTATTCATCTGCCTGCAACTGTTGAATCACAGGTGGCCTTCTGCGAGGTGGGAAACCCTACAGGGGAACAGGTGGACCAATGGGAGCAGGGTAGAGCTCCATGGAAGAATTCCATATCTGAAAAGCAAATAATTTATCCCATCTCTCATCTCCACTTCTACGAGGACATCAACAGGAAACAACTAAGTTCTCCTTCCATTCAGAGCAGCTTATGTTTATGCAGAAAATGAACCAATGCAGAGTTATATCCAGGAACGAGAATACACTATGACCCTTACTAAGGTACATCTTTAAAAAAGATTAGGTTTGATGTCTCATTGGATTAAACAGAGTGAATCCAATGTGCCACTTAAAGGATTCACTGAAGGTCAGAATTTAGGATTGGTGACAAGTTCTAAGAGGAAAAGGAGCTGGAAGCTAGGACTAAAGCTTGCCTGGAAATGTTAAAGAGGAATAGAAATTTTATCTCAAACATGGAGAAAATTAAAAGTATGTACCAAAGACGATCACCACTAGCTTTATTGCTATCGCTCCTGAATCTATGGGCCAAAACTTTAAGGTGGCTTTACCCATGGACCCCTGATTATTTCATGGTCATTGTCAAGTGTTTGCAGCATAGCAAGCCTGCAATCTTTTCTCCCCTTTATTATGGATGTCTCAGAAAAGAAAGTAAAGTGTCCTGGTCAAATCTTGAAAATAACGCTGATGATTGATCAACCGGCAAATTCATGAGTGATATTCACTAGTAGGAGAATCTTTATCTATGAAATGCTTTCAGTAGAGTGTACCTGGTCTGTTTGGGGTTGTTAGTGGTAAACAAATCTGGATTCTATGGATCTATGGGACATGGTTCCCTGAAAAATGCTGAATGAGCTATGTAGCTATCAGAGTATAAAGAGGAGATGTTTGTGTAAGTCATGTACCCGCATACATTTCTTAGACACCTTACATGTTAAATTTCGCTGGAGTGTGCCCAACTATAGCAAGAAAGGACCTGGGGAGCTACACTTGGCTTCTCCTTGCTTCACCTACACTTTATTTTTTTTTTTAAGATTTTATTTATTTATTTGACAGAGAAAGAGAGAGTGAGAGAGCACAGACAGGGGGAACAGCAGAAGGAAAGGGAGAAGCATGCTCTCCGCTGAGCATGGAACCTGATGCAGGGCTTGATCCCAGGACCCTGGGATCATGACTCGAGCCGAAGACAGGTGCTTAATCGACTGAGCCACCCAGGTGCCCCCACCTACACTTTATGATCACTTGTGTCCTTGAAGTAATCAGGAAAGCTTGATACTGAGTAAGACCTTAGTTTCTGTGCTCACTTAACAATTTAGTCAATGCCTCAATATGCAAAACAATAATGCACTATTTAATAGTATAAATATCATTACTGTACTTTCATTAGTTATTTTATATAAACTCAGAGTGAAATGCAGATTTAAATTATTACAGAATTGGATATATACTAAAATACCACTTATTAGAATGTATACATGCACACACACACACACACACTCTTATAAGTACTTGGGAAATATCAAACTATTATAAGTAGTGGCTATTGTAGATTAAACTGAGTGGAGGAGATTTAAGAGTCTCTTTCTTCTTATATTTTTCAAGTATAACCACGTATTATCAAAATAAAAATCTAATATAGACACATTTAAAGTAAAAGTATTTTATATGCAATGCAATGGCTTAGAAGAGCACAGCATATTTACATTGGTGCTTAGAAAAGGTAGCTCTAGGGATGCCTGGGTGGCTCAGTCAGTTAAGCATTCAACTCTTGATTTCAGCTAGGGTCATGATCTCAGGGTCGTGAAATCAAGCCCCTCGTTGGGCTCCATGATCAGCATGGAGTCTACTTAGAGATTCTCCCTCCTCCTCTCCCTCTGCCTCTCCTCCTGCTGACTCTCTCTCTAAATAAATAAATGAATTAGTTAAAAAAAGAAAGAAAGGAATGGTAGCTCTAGTCTCCTATGATTCTTATCAACCAATTTATTTTTGTTTTTTGCATTGCATATCCTACAGAATCAAGTCAATCCTGGGTTATACAGATAAGCAGATCCAAATGCTAAGGCATTTTTCAATTTCCTTTCAAACTTTAGTCTTCAGTTGACTCATTCAAAAGCATAAGAATGAGGTATTAATCATATTTGTTTCAAAGTTAAAAATTAAGAATATCTAACAAATGCTTGATTTTGTAAGAATAAATACAAAAATGAGACAAAGAAGGATAGCCCAGCAATTCCACTCTTACACGCGTACCCTGGAGAAGCACTCACACATTTGCCTAAGGAGATGTGCGCAGCCACATACCCACTGCACCGATCTTTGTACAAATGAAACATTGTAAACAACTTATATATCCATCAAATGAGAGAAGGATAAATTCATTGGGATATATTCTTACAACAGTATTACTGCACAGTGATTAAATAAATGACATAGGGATGATTTAGTAGCCTGAATAAATCTTCAAAAAAAAAAAAAAGTTGAGTGAATAAGGGAAATGATCAGAGGATGCTGCAGAAAGATATATTTAGCAAAATATTATTTACCTGGCTTAAAAACAAAAATATGATGCCACATTTTAAATAGTGGCCTGTGGACCATACATTTATGCTAAAACATTAAACTCAGAGATGTGGAAGATACACAGCAGCTTCAGAATAGCATTAACCGGAGGTGGGAAAAAGAGGCAGATAGGGAAGGAAATGGAACAGAGTAGAAGAAATTGCATCTGTAGTGTTTTGTTTCTTTAAAAAATTAAACAACTTTTAAAGTTAATATTTATTCTATCTGGGTAATACATACATAAGTGTTGATTATGCTATAATCTGTATCTTTCTCTATTTTTGAGATATTTCACATCTCAAATGATATAAAATGATATTTTATAGAATATATACATATGTAAAATACATGTATCTCCCACGATTTGTATGTTTATATATTATAAAACTATTACTCTATTGCAAATGTTCATATATTTGTACATATACAATATAGGGATACTTATGAAAGATACATATAAAAGATATATAAAATATATAATGTATTTAATAAATATATATAATGCAAAACGGGAACATTACAAGTGCTCACTTCAGTAGCGCATCTACTACAACTGGAACAATACAGAGAAGATTAGTGTGGCCCCTGAGCAAAGATGAAAAACTCGTGAAGCATTCCAAATTTATGAGTATACTTATCGTGATGAACACTGAGCAATGTATAGAACTGTTGAATCACTATACTGTACACCTGAAACTAATATAATACTAGAATTAAAAAATTTTTTAAAAGAGAGGGAAAATGACATAGTACATAACATACATTATAATCAAATGAGAAACAACAGGAAACACCCCCAAAATAATATGATAGCATTCGGAGAGATGTTATACATTTCCCTGTTATCACCTGTCCTTGCACCAGTAGCTAATGATATATACAGTATCATATAGATATGGTGAGGGCAGAGCTGCAAACTTTCCAAATTAATGTTGCATTTGCAAAAAGTTCATATAGGTGAATGAGATGGCAGGTTAATTCTGAGCTCTGCATTGCAGTAGCTGCAGTAACAGATAAGACCTGACATTAATCTTGTGTTTCCTATGCACCAGCCTGTTACCTATTTAAGTTCATTCACTTCTTTTTTTTAATATATATACATATTTTTTATTATTGTTATGTTAATCCCCATACATTACATCATTAGTTTTTGATGTAGTGTTCCATGATTCATTATTTGCGTATAACACCCAGTGCTCCACGCAGAACGTGCCCTCTTTAATACCCATCACCAGGCTAACCCATCCCCCCACCCACCTCCCCTCTAGAACCCTCAGTCTGTTTCTCAGTCCATAGTCTCTCATGGTTCATCTCCTGCTCCGTTTTCCCCCCTTCATTCTTCCCCTCCTGCTATCTTCTTTTTCTTCTTTTTTTTTTCTTAACATATATTGCATTATTTGTTTCAGAGGTACAGATCTGAGATTCAACAGTCTTGCACAATTCACAGCGCTTACCAGAGCACATACCCTCCCCAATGTCTATCACCCAGCCGCCCCATTCCTCCCACCCCTCACCACTCCAGCAACCCTCAGTTTGTTTCCTGAGATTAAGAATTCCTCATATCAGTGAGATCATATGATACTTGTCTTTCTCTGATTGACTTATTTCGCCTAGCATAATACCCTCTAGATCCATCCACATCACTGCAAATGGCAAAATTTCATTCCTTTTGATGGCTACATAATATTCCATTGTATACACACCTTCTTTATCCATTCATCTGTTGATGGACATCTTGGCTCTTTCCACAGTTTGGCTATTGTGGACATTGCTGCTATAAACATTGGGGTGCAGGTGCCCCTTCAGATCACTACATTTGTATCTTTGGGGTAAATACCCAGTAGTGCAATTGCTGGGTCGTATGGTAGCTCTATTTTCAATTTTTTGAGGAACCTCCATACTGTTTTCCAGAGGAAAGAGAAATTAAGGAGTCGATCCCATTTACAATGGCACCCAAAACCATAAGATACCTAGGAATAAATCTAACCAAAGAGGCAAAGAATCTGTACTCAGAAAACTATAAAATACTCATGAAAGAAATTGAGGAAGACACGAAGAAATGGAAAAACGTTCCATGCTCATGGAACGGAAGAACAAATATTGTGAAGATGTCAATGCTACCTAGAGCAATCTACACATTCAATGCAATCCCCATCAAAATACCATCCACTTTTTTCAAAGAAATGGAACAAATAACCCTAAAATTTGTATGGAACCAGAAAAGACCCCGCATAGCCAGAGGAATGTTGAAAAAGAAAAGCGAAGCCGGCGGCATCACAATTCCGGACTTCCAGCTCTATTACTAAGTTCACTCACTTCTTACAAAGCTACGTGGGTTAGGTATTACTCCTGCGCCCATTTCCCAGATGAGGAAGTGTATCACAAAGAACACAAGCAATGTGCGCTATCACACGGCTGGAAAGCACTAAAGCCGCATCGGAATCAGGCCCTCTGGCTCTAACGTCTAGATTCCTAACTAAAGAGTTCATTTGGCAGCTTCACTCACTTTCACTGGGGCTTTCCAACTACCTTATGCAAGTTTTAGAAATAAAATACAGGGAGGTGCCCAGCTGGCTGAGTCCGCGGGACAAATATTCTTACTTCGGGTTTCTAAGCTCCAGCAATTAGCACGGAGCACAGCTCTCCCCCACCGCTCGGGCCCAAACATTTAGAGCACAGCAGTGCGCCCCGGCTTGACCCCGGCCTGGCCATGTTCCAGGAAGGCAAAGCTGCGGCGCCCTGGGCGGCTTTACGCGGACGACCCTGGCGGACCGAAGCCAACCAACTCGCAGGTGCTCACCGGGGTTGGGCTCGCTCCCTCCAACCGCAGGCCGTGGTCCTCCAAGTTCAATTCCAGCCTCCCCGAAGCAGCCCGGGGGCGCACCCGGCGCAGCAGAGCGCTCGCAGCGCCTCTCCGACCCGTTCTCTTGTCGGGAGGGGGCCGGGAGGTCAAGAGGCGCCGCGACCTCCGCTGACCCGCCCGCGCCGGGCTTTGGAGGCTCCCGGCCCGCCGCGTCCGTGGAGTGTGCGCCTGCGCGTCGTCGCCCTTGAGCCACTTTCAAGGTGAAAATGAGGGGGCGCCCCGGGGTTGAGGCCCTCTGGACGGTGGACGTGGCTGGGCCGCGTGGAGGCCTCTGTAAACTTCCAGATGCTGGAGGGCAGCGTGGAGCGGAGATCTCCTGATCTCCCGCCCAAGATAAGCCTCTTCTGCCGGTTCCCTTGCGGCGCATCTGGAGGGGCTGCCTCTGACTTGTGCTTCGCCTCGCCACGGCGGGCTGCGCGGCCGGTTTCCGACTTCACCCCACTCCCGCTGTTGGAACCAACGTCAGGTTCCACGAGGTGGAGCCGATGGCCCGAGAGAGGAAGGACGGCAGGTACTCTCTCAGCAGGGCAGCAGAGCTCCTGTACCCCCGGACCGCTGTGACTCCCACTCCCTAAGAAGATGCTCTGGTGGCTCATCTTCTAAGGACCCTCCGTTGCGACGCTGTCTCTTTGCCCAAGCTCGATCCTCGGCCTTCTTGCCACGTGCCTCAACTTTGATTCTACCCCACCTGTACTCTCCGTCCCTTTCTGCCGCGACCCACCTTCCGAGGCAAAGAATCTGATGGGACCAGTCGCCACCTCCCCGACGCAGAGCATCCTTCCCAGCAGGACTCCTCCAGCCAGGTGGTCCCTGAGGCTCCTGGCTTCTCTCCTGACTTGGCCACTTCCAGGTTTATGTCGTCTTAGGAAGTTCCTTACCCTCCCTGTTCCTCAGTTTCCTGTGTATAAAAGAGGAGTTATCACAGCATAGTTTTTCAAAGACATGATACATGGGGAGGTGTTCAGGTGGTGTAGGCTGTGTCCTGTGCCTGAACCAGGTTGTCCAGGCGCGTCCCAGGTCGTACTGATCGCCCCAGCACAGTATTAGTGAAGCCTCTTTCTCTCTCAGTATTAGCATAATTTTGACCATGCGTTATTTGGACATCTTAACCTATGCCCATGTTATATTTACTTTTGGAGCAGACATCAGCCTCTAATCCAGGTTGAGATGGCTGGGTATCATAGTCCCATGGCTCAAAATCTGGCTAGCAACCCTGCCAGGTATTTTGTGCATAAGGACCATGTAAGTATAACAGATTCTCAACATGTCAGACTCCTCTCTGTGACACCCATGAGTAGTACAAACCACTGATTCCAGTCCTCAAAGAACAAGCATTTTCTATAGAGAAGAACCCAAACTGCATTTATCTCATAGAATATATACATTAGGACTTTTTTTTTTTTTAACGCCCTTAAACTTTTTTTTGTTAACACCAAAAAATAGGTGACCTCAGTTTCTCTTGGTTGATCTGAAAAATTATAAACCATGCCTGGATTCTCTTGTTTTTCTGATAGATTAGTTCTGGCTCTTCCTAAGGCACAGCTAAGATCCAGATGACCTTTCTCCTAGCCCTGGGCTTCTACAGACCATACACGTAAGAAATCAAAAGCCGAGGAGAAAATGTAACCCGACAGTCTCTCCATGCAGAATGTCGAGAGGTACTCGGAGCTGCTCTTCAACTGTTAAAGGCTTCAGGATTCCAAATGGCCAGATCAGTGCAAGGCAAGTCTCATGCAGTACTTGCCATGGTCCTTTGGGTCAAAAGAAATTTCCAGAGAAAGATCAACAAAGTCAGTGCCTTTATGCCAAGATTCAACAGACCAGAGTGAACATAACCATCTGTACTTCTTTATTGAACTGGGGAAAGTGGCAGAAGGAAAGACTGGCAGCTACATCTGTTGTCTAGAATTTATTAAGCTCGCATACACATATAGAGAGTCTTGAAGTTAATTTTTTTCTTGTGACTGACACATGCTATAATGATATCCTACACTTACTAGAACACAATAGCAATGTTCACATACACCAGGAATGAATTTCACATACCAGACAAATTTCTAAGAGTGGAGAGATTAGACAAGCCCTGGAAGCAAGTATTCAGCAGCTAAAAGAACTGCTAAAATAATTGAAATAGGGTATTTTTATGTCTCTTCAAGGAAGTATTGAAAACACTATGCATTATTTATTTATTTATTTATTTTTAAGATTTTATTTATTTATTTGAGACAGAGAGCATGAGAGGGAGGAGGGTCAGAGGGAGAAGCAGACTCCCTGCTGAGCAGAGAGCCCGATGCGGGACTCAATCCCGGGACTCCAGGATCATGACCTGAGCCGAAGGCAGTCGCTTAACCAACTGAGCCACCCAGGCGCCCTGCATTATTTATTTTTTAAATGGTGTATTTTTCATTGTGTCAGCTAAAAATATTTCCTTCATCCTGCTGATAAAACAACAAGCACTACAACAGAAATGATCCGTCACAGAATCAAAGATATAAGGAACAGAGGAATCTGATTATGGTGTCTAGCTTTAAAATTCTCACCTACAGTTTGCACTTTGTGCTACATTTGCATGATCTAAGTTCAAGTGAACAGAAAGCGAATAAAAAGAATCACAAAAACTGGCTTTCGACCATTTGTTTTGACTTTGAGATGCAACCCTCCTCTGTGTTCATTCTATAGGCTTGAAGAATTCAAGCTAATAATATCCTTTGGAGGGAAACTGAAGAGAATGACAAAATATTAATATGGAAGTCAAGATGCTTG